TGGATACATCAGATTATAATGATAAAATAAAACAACTTTTGTCGGACGAGAGCACGTACAAAAAGGTTAAAACGGATCCAACTAGCACCGTTTTAAATAATACTAAAAAGCTAATTAAGGAACACTCCGACATATTAAATCTTGATGTTAAAAATCTTATTCCATCATGTGCAAAACCACCTAAGTTGTATGGACTTCCGAAAATACACAAGACTAACGCTCCGCTACGTCCAATTGTGAGTCAGATCGACTCGCCGACTTACAAATTGGCTAAACTAGTAGCAAAAGTACTCTCACCACTCAGAGGATTAACAAGAGCGTTCACAAAGGACTCTTACCATTTTGTCAATGAAGTTAAACACCTAAAACTCATGGACAATGAAACAATGGTTAGTTTCGATGTACAGTCTTTATTTACCAGCCCACCAGTGGAAGACTGTATTGAAATAATATCTAGGAAGCTACTAGATCACAACATGTCAATAGAATACATTGAACTTTTAAAACACTGCCTAACATCTGGCTATCTACTGTGGAATGGTGAATTCTATAGGCAAGTGGATGGAGTGGCCATGGGTTCGCCAGTCTCCCCCGTCGTAGCCGACATCTTCATGGAGGACTTCGAGGAGACTGCTCTGAACACATCACCCGTGACCCCTCGTTTCTACAAGCGGTATGTAGATGACACTTTCACAATATTACCATCTGATAAAATAACTGTATTCTTAGAACACCTTAATTCTATAAATCCTAAAATACAATTTACAATGGAATTAGAATCAGACAATACCTTAGCTTTCCTAGATGTATTAGTTAAACGTAACACAGATAACACCTTGAGTCATACTGTGTATAGAAAGAAGACCCATACTGATAGGTACCTGAACGGTGAATCTCACCACCATCCTTCACAGTTAGCTACCGTGGGAAAATCTTTGTTTCAGAGAGCGCGCGGGATCTGTGACGAGCAACACCTGGCCGGAGAACTGCAACATGTCAAGCAAGTTCTGCGTGACAACAAGCTGCAAGTGCCGCGCCTGCGTCACAGTGACCGAGTAAAACCAGCCACAGTCGAGCGCGTCCCTGCAGTCTTGCCATACATGAAAGGAGTCACTGACAAGATTGGCTACATTCTAAAGCGAGCTTCAATTAAAACTTACTTCAAGCCGCCAAAGCAAATTAGTCAGTTCTTACCACCTGTCAAGTGCCACATCCCTCTACAAGATGCAGGAGTTTACAAGCTTGATTGTGATTGTGGGCTCTCTTACATTGGACAAACAAAGCGATCCATTAGAACCCGGGTCAAAGAACACATAGCTGATGTGAAGCACCGTCGCAATACAACATCTGCTGTCTGCAAACATAGCCAGGACCGCCCAAGCCATTATATTCGTTTCGATAGACCTCAAATCTTGGCGAAAGAAAACCGATATCGCCCTAGAATGATTCGAGAAGCCATAGAAATTAAAAAACATCCAAATTTCAATAGGGAAGATGGCTGGGTACTACCATCGTCATGGGATCCTGTTATTAATATAATAAAATCAAATAATAAATATAAACATAACAGACAAGCAGATGTAGTAAGTTCATACTGTGTAGATCAAAATGACAGCTTATCAGATTGATATTTTTCATTTTTCATTTGTAAAAGTATATATTAATAGTGTTGCTTAGTAAGTTGTTTTTAAATAATAGCAAACTAAATTAAAATTATAATCCTTAATTAATTTTAACTTTTTAAATTACACATTGAACAATTATATGGCTTAAATAATTAATACTATATTTTATATTTTTCTTTATGGTTATAAATATAATAATGGCAACACTAAATATAGATTACTAATTAATATTTTTAAAATTGTAATAATTATAAAAATAATAGCAAAAATTAAATAAATAATTTTCCATATTCAATTATAATTAAAATTATAAAAATGTTTAAAGTTAAAATATTGTAATGTAATTGGTGCAATTTTCATTTGTTGATTGTGGGTAGGCTGTCTGTAACAACTATATCTTTAAGACATGTAACACCTCAGTCTCTCCCGTGACCATGGATGCTGTAAAGCATTCGAAACGTCGGGAACCAAAAATCAAAATAAATCCGCGAAATAATCCGAAAAGATAGTTTTATTTAACTTCCTCCTTTTTGAAGAAGTCAGTTGATAAAATATCTCCATCAGAAATATTAAAAGTAGATACCATACTATTAGTTTAAGCACACCCAAAACACAAAAATTAAATTAGAAATAACGAAGAAATTGGGTATTTTGTGGGTATAGAATTAAAATCCCCTCGAGAACATAACTTTCAGATTAGTTAAACGTTGAGTGTAAATAACCAGGAGAACAACGAGGTGTTACTGTATCAATAGAAGATAATATAGTACTTGCCGAAGATACACATTCTAGATTTAATGTCTCTTGTCTATGTCAAGGTAGTGGTAGCGCCATAGATTTCAAGATCTCGGAATTAGATACTACTTTAAAACCAGAGAATATTACAGTTTCCGACTCAAGTCAAACATTGTTATGCAATTTAGGTAGAATTTCAGAAGATAATGATTCTTGTTCTATCTTGAACCCCGTGGTCCATAACATCTCATCACTAATTCTGCCCTCTGCAAATGAACTACGAAATAGCACAATAAGCTATTTACAAAATATTGACTTATAATAATATTATTATTATGCCATTATTTGTCAGACGCACTTGCAATGAATGACAAAGTTAGTGGCGAGAAATATAAAGTGATAGAGATGGATCAATCTGATTTTGTCGATATAAAAATGCTTATTGAAGGCCGAAATTGGACGCATGACTCTGAGGGAAATAAAATATTGTGGTCCAATAAATATATGGGAGTTGTTGCGGGTACTCATGAGGGTATACTGAACTTAAAATACAGTTTTGAAGATGATTATATTATGAAGTTCCACACGCGTACGGAGTTACACACACAGGGAGCTACAATGGACCACAATTGGTCGACGTAGTTATGGCCGACCTCGGCACCACTTCCAATAAAATGTAATAAATAATAATACACACTCGTGATCTATCAGCCAGATTTCCTACTCGAGGCGCCCGGGTACGGTGGACGCACACGAAGTGGACGTTCACGAGGTGCACAAATACTCCGTGATGCTGCTACTCCTACTGCTGAAATTCCAATCGTATCCAAGCTGCAAAGGGCCTTGCACTCAGACTTATTAAGTCATTGTAAAAATTATGACACACCACGTCACTACCATGATTTTTATGAGGTTTTGGCATGCGAAACTGTTGAGGATGAAGTACTCGTAGCAGAACATTATTCCCAAGAAGACACACCATTTCTTTATGGATAATTTTGTTATTTCTTTTTGATACCTACCAAGATTGTAATACTTTAATACATTTTAGATCGTAGAAATGTAAATAACCTGAAGACTATGTTATTGTTCTGGTAAATAGGTATATTGGTATTTTTTCTTATGACTTAATTATGCTGTGTCCAAAACTTTAATTAAAAATAATAAATACATAATAATAAATAATTACGTTATATTCTAGATTGATTGTAGTCATTCCAAAACAACCATATTTATATAATGTACACAGCATTCACAAGTACATTTTCCAAGTCGATCATTAAATTCATGTAACAGCACTGCAAAACGCTATTACTGTATTCGCCATACATCCTCCAGATCAGCGTACAACGTTGCAATAGACTATTGCTGTCTGATTGATTTTGCACTTTTTACCGGAATAAAACCACAATGGATTCTTACGGAAACGACATTCAATGTAAGAAGCGGCAATATGATTTTTTACTTGTTTTTAGGTATTTCCTTAGAATTATAAGCTTATGTACATTATATATCCGTCCAGAAAAAAATAACGCATCTTTTGATATATAAACCGTTTTGATGAGCCTCGTAGTTTAGTAATTATTCATGATTTTCACTAAATCTTTTTTCCTGTAAAATTGTATTTTGTCGATTGCGGCTTTGTTCCAATAACCCATCGATATGTATTAATATAAGACTCAATATTATTGTTATATATATGCTTTATTCTATAAACTTACCAACAGATGGCGCTACTTTCCATCAAAGTAATAAAGCAAAATTAAGTTGTTATTTTATGTTTCGAGACAATTTACGACAGTTTCAAAGTTTCCGATATTAAAAAAATGTTATATCACGCTTTTATCACTTTTCGGAATATAAAATGAATATTTATTACCTACTGTGGAAATTATTCTCTTATTAACCGAGTTTCAAAAGAAAAAGGTTCTCATATTTGTTAAATTCTAATAATTTTTTTTTTTTCTTGAATTGAATTCCTCTTTTAAAATGGCAATGTTAAATAAATCTTATCAATTTAAATATAAGCTATTTATGTCCCAATTTTTTTTATGTCACGCACAATTAAAGTGATACATACATACAACAAATACATATATACATACAAGCAAACTAATATTACTTGCTAAGAAACCTAAATATTTAACTACAACCAATTTATACCCGCGACTTTGCTTGTCTATTTTAGACCAATATAATAAGCCTATTTCTAGGGGTTGTACCCGAAGGGTGCTAACGGAACCCTTTACTAAGCCCCCGCTGACCGTCCGTCTGTCAGATCGCTGTATCTCATGAACCGTAATAGTTAGAGACTTGCAACACAGATTCACAGAGTATGTATTTTTGTTGGCACCGCTATAATAACAAATAGAAAAAATTAGTAAGATTTTTTTTAACGTTCGTAATCGATCATCGAAGTTAATATATTACATACATAGAGTAAAAGTCATATTAATAAAAATTACATGTCCGATGGTACGGGACCCTTCGAGTGCGAATTCGACTCGCATTTGATCGAATTTTTTTAATCTACGCTATAAACTATCTTTGCAAGAAATTTAGTTTAGTCGTTACAGCGTAAAAATGTAACAAACACAAAGCCTTTGCAATGATAATATTAATATATTTTTTTTGTTACAGAGCAAAAACCAAAGAAATTTCCGGTAGTAGTATTCATCCATGGTGACTCATTTGAATGGAGTTCTGGCAACCCATACGATGGGAGGATCCTTGCGTCATATGGAAATGTTATGGTTATAACAGTTAACTTCAGGCTGGGTATTTTGGGTAAGTTCTTAGGGTAAAATATACAAAAATTCAAAAATTCAAAATATTTTATTCAGCATTAAATTATTACAATTTTTTACTGAACGTCATGAGTCTATTACCAGTTCGGAAAGAAGAAGCCTCAGACCTGAGAAGAATTGGCGAAAGAAACTCAGCGGGACTAATATTAACTTGTTATCTTTTATACGACTATTTATTCATGCACTTGGCAAAAATTTGTATTGCTTATACATTTACCTGGTGTTTACTATGAGCTTTTTATTTATAGCTTTTTAAAATAATAAATAGGTATGAGATACCTACCAAATATACAAAAAAAAATATCATCCAAATCGGTCGAGCCGTTTCGGAGTAGTGCAAATATATTAAAAGATTAGTCTTATAGATATAATGCAAAGAGATTCATGAGATTTCATCCTAGAAATCCTATATTTAACTTTCAGGTTTTATGAAACCAAGTATAACAGAGCACGTGTACGGAAACAACGGTCTTCTCGACCAGCTGGCAGCGTTACAATGGATAAAAGATAACATAGAAGACCTAAATGGGGACCCTAATTCTGTAACTTTAATGGGCCATGGAACTGGAGCAGCCTGTGTTAACTATCTGATGCTTTCTCCTATTTCTAATGGTAAATGCTTGTGAATGTTAGACCATGCCACTATATATTTTATCGATTATCAGAATATAATTTTTTTTATGTCTTTTAAACCGACTTCTAAATAAAAGGCTACAATTTCTATTTTAACGTCAATTATTATAGCTACTTTATTAGTATAAGTGCAAGACCCACGATTTGAACCCGCTTCACTCGGTTTCCTAAGCGGGCGCGTTACCACTGAGCTATCATTGCCGTTTTGGAATATTAACATTTAATAATATAGTATACTAGCATTGTCCGCGGCTCCGCCCGCGTTCAGATGACCAAAAAACAAATTCTTAGGTTTTACATATTAGTATACTCTTACATTGCAGTTTTTGGATTTTTTCTCAGAAATAATATATTTTCCCGCTGTAAAAAGTATCCTATATGTTGACCCGAATAACCAGCTATCATGATACCAAATTTCATCAAAATCCCTCCAGTGGTTTTTCTGTGATGCGATAACAGACAGACAGACGAAAATTCAAAAAACTATAGATTCGGCCTCTGTATCGATAATAATGTCTATTTCAATAAGATTTTCCAAAAAATATTTAATGTACAGATTCGGCTTAGTTAGAATTTGATTATATGTATAGATTTATATATTTTCAGGCAACTTTCTATTAAGAATTATTAAATTTACACTAACTGGAAATCAAAGTCACTACTCGATCGCTATTAATATTGTACAAAATATAATTTTTCGTATCATTCAAGAACATTGTCCTTTCAAAGATTAAGCCTCAATATAAAAAGACGTTTACAAAGAACAAAAGAAAGACCTATTATCATCTCACGTTTTTTTTTGTTTGATGGTTACTTGATTTTCCCTAATTAAAATCGTAGTATCTTCGTGTATTGCAGAGGTTCTAAACTTTGTTTTAAATATGGGTATATATTTAGATCAAATATTTTAAAAGAATGTTAAAACGTCTGATATCTTATTTGAGATTACCATTGCCCGCGGCTCCGCCCGCGTTCAGATGACCAAAAACCACATTCTTTGGTTTTACATATTAGTATACTCTTACAATACAGTTTTTGTATTTTTTCTCAGAAATGAGACATTTTCCCGCGGTAAAAAGTATCCTATATGTTGACCCGGATAACCAGCTATCATCGCACCAAATTTCATCAAAATCTGTCCAGTGGTTTTCTCGTGATGCGGTAACAGACAGACAGACGAAAATTCTAAAAACTATAGATTCGGACTCTTTACCGATAATAATATTTATTTCAATTAGGTTTTCCAAAAAAAAATTAATGTACTGATTCGACTTAGTTACAATTTTATTATACGTATAGATTGTGGGTTTGACTCCTGTGTGGGAATTGATTTATCTTGTTCGCAAAAACTTTTACATTATCGACATACACTTATGAGATAAGAAGTCAAAGAAGTTATTTTTTTCCGCCATGCAATCCTTGTAATTATTAAAAAACGATAAATATACTATTATATATCAGTATTATTTTAGATATTTCATATAGTTTCAACTAAAATTGCACAACCAATTATTTGCATTTGATACTTGCAGGAATTTAATTCTAGACCCTTTTATTCATATTTTGTCAAAATTCAGCTCCTTCCTCTATCAGTTACATCCGTTAGAACATATAATACTGCATATAATACCTAGCAATATAAAACTGTCATAAATACAGCCCCAAGTTTGAGAAACGCTGCCATATTTTTTGAACCTTAATATCTTTTATAAAGAACACAGCTAACGAAAGTAAACAACGGTTTGACTAATGACGCTTCATTTATAAAAGAGAAATTTGGTAGCATCTGACCCATTGAATTGAGAATAATTAATATAGAAAAGTCTGTGTCCGCGCTGTTTTTGTTCATTGTTGTTTATGAAAATACTCTGGAAAGCTTAATTATCGCCTAAAATATCATAGAAATCTTATTTTTTTTCCTTTCGATATTTATTTTCCTGTTGCTATTTTATGGACTTGTCGTACTGACATCAGATTAATGTTGTGAAAGTAAAAGTTTGGGAATGAGTGTATATTATATTTCTTCTTTGAATACTGATATCTTGGATTGATACACGGGCTCCCATTTTATCGATGTAACGGGCAAAAATCTATATTTATACATACCTATAATAAAATTGTAACCAAGTCGAATTTGTACATTAATTGTTTTTTTTGGAAAATCTTATTGAAATATTAATTACAGACAGACAGACAAAAAACATAAAAACTTTGATTCAAAGATTCGGCCTCTATATAGATAATGATGACTATTTCAATAAAATTTTCCAAAAAATATTTAATGTACACATTCGACTCAATTACAATTTTATTATATACTAGGGGCTCACACTCGCTTCGCTCGGGTTCGCCTCTAGAAAAATACTAATAGAGATCTTTTAGTTCCCACGGGAACCGTTCACTTTTCCGGAATGAAAAGTAACCTATTATTTGACCGGCAATATAAGGTATCATAATGTTAAATTTTACTAAATTAGTTGCATAAGTTGTTGTGTATTAAGCTGTATAAGTTACTATAGTTTTTAACTATCCCCACGGGAACTCTTTAATTTTCCGGAATGAAAATTATCTTACATGTTGTCTGGGGATATAAGGTACGACCATGCAAAATTTCATTTAAATCAGTCTAATAGTTTCGGAGATTAGCCCGTAAAAAAAAATCTGGATTTGTTCTATTTGTCTTCATACATGCCCCTGACTCGATTTTTGGCATTTTTTTGCTATGTACAGACATTCGACCTCTACCGATTTATTATAGTATAGATATAGATTTTTGAAGTGTATTTACTTATTCATAAAAAAAAATTAAAACGGTTTAGAATTAGCAAAAATATTACGTTGTATACACACAAAAATCGCGGGAAAAACCATCTTTTCGTTTTATTTTAAAATAACTCTTCCTATTCTAAGTCGGTCACATACATTACCCTCTTTTCATTATAGTAGGAATTAAAACACCATAAAAAAATTTTTTCAGGTTTATTTCACCGAGCGATACTGATGTCAGGATCTGCTTTATCAGATTCAGCCATGACGAAAGATCCCACACAGTACACATTGCAAGTTGCACAGAGCTTGGGATGTAACCTGAATTCTAAGAATATGATGACATGCTTACAAAATAAGCCGTAAGTTACAAAAAACTTTATTTTAGTTGCTTCACTTAATGATGGCTGTATTTTCAACCCTTACTTTTTTTCAAAAATGTTATATAGTTTTAAATTAAAAAAATCTTTCTATATTAAAAATATATTTGATTTTCACCTAGAGGAAGATTTTTTCTCCTTAATTAATAAGCATCCCACATCGACTGGCAGTTGCAGAAATAAGCACATCCAAACAAACAAACCTTTTAGGTTTATATATTTGTATAAAGTTAGAAATAGCAATATATCAAAAATTACTAATAAATTTTTCATATAATTCCAGGTTATCAGAAATAAAGAAAGTGCAAATATTGTCACGTGAATTTGAAACTCCTCTAGGCCCAGTGGTAGCGGGATCGTTTATTCCAAGCGAACCAACAAAAACTATGGAGTCCTTCCCAAATCTGCTTAGCAAGTAAGATGTTTAGTTATGCTTGTATTTCAAACTATATTATAAAATAAGTATAGTTTTAAAAAAAAAACTAAAAAACACACTGTTGATGAATTGAAATAAATAAAATAAATAAATATGTTGGGACATTAACACATAGCGCCATCTAGTTCCATGGTAAGCTACGAGGCTTGTGTTACGGATACCAGATAGTTGATACACTATACATATATAACTTTAAATACATATTATAAATATAAACACCCATGACTAGAAGACTAAAGAATTCCAGTACCTACCTCCTGGTGCCACCAGCAGATTGGCTCCAAGAAACCAAGTTATAGTGCTGTCATTCGAACTACATATACGTTTAAAGTTTCACTATGATACGACAATTGGAAGTAGATTAAAATTGATTTTCAAAATTTGATTACATTATTTGTTAGTTAACAAGTTAAAAAAAAGCGTGTTAAAAAGATATTCTTGAGTAGGCAAATAATTTGCTGCGTATATATTGCATCTTTATTTTTATGGTAATTATCGCTGTTTTGATGTCTGTTACATAATTATCATAGACTAGCGAATCACCCTCGCTTTGCTCGGGTTCGTCCCTAGCTTGCTTCCTAATACAAACTTTCATCCCCATTATCACTTCCTTGAGGGATGATTTCCGGGATAAAAAGTATCCTATGTCCTTCCCGGGGTCTCAAACTATGTTCTTACCAATTTTCATCTAAATCGGTTCAGTAGATCCAGAGATTACCCCCTACCACCTCACAAACTCACAAACTTTACCTCTTTATAATATTAGTATAGATTAAAAAGAACGATCTATTCTAACTTAACTACCTAACACAATCATTATGTATTTTCCCCATAGGTTTAACTAAAAATCTTATAAAAGAAGTAAAAATATTTAAAGCAAAGACGTAAAAAATTATATTTCTTACAGATATCAACTGCTAAGTGGTGTAACGGAATTAGAAAGCTATCACGATTTTGGTGTGATTGAATTAGATCACGGCATTTTAGAGAACCAACGAGATGAATTTATAACAAAGTTTGCTAAGCTTGCGTTTGAAGGAGCTGAAAAAATCGCTCTGAAGGAGATTTTAAAACAGTAAGTTTTTAGGTCGTGCTTTATAATAAGAACTTTATCTTAGTATGAAATTGATAGACTATATTCATACTAATATTATAAGTGTGAAAGCGTGTTTGTTTGTTTGTTTGTTTGTCTGTCCTTCTTTCACGTCGAACGGAGTGACGGATTGGCGTGATTTTTGTGTGGAGATAGTTGGAGGGCTGGAGAGTGACATAGGCTACTTTTTACCGCATGAGATTGTCTCATTCTCACGGGAAAACACGTTATAATACAACCCAAAAAAATATGTATGGTCAGAATTACTTGAAACTTGGTATTAATGCTCTTCAATAAAATTAAATAAATATACGTTTTAGCTTTTTTCGGAATTCATCCCCTAAGGGTGTAAAATAGGGGATGAACGTTTGTATGAAAACTACCTTTTTAGAGTTTTTTTGTAGTTTTAGCGTGAGCGAAGCCGCGGGATCTGCTAGTATTATTATATAATATACATAGGTATGATGGGTTTTATGTCCCTTTTAAAGAAAGTATTAAATTAACAAAATATTTTTAAATAAAACTATCTTTTCGGATTATTTCGCGGATTTATTTCGATTTTTGGTTCCCGACGTTTCGAATGCTTTACAGCATCCATGGTCACGGGAGAGACTGAGGTGTTACATGTCTTGAAGTCTGTTATGTCACGAAATAATCCGAAAAGATAGTTTTATTTAAAAATGTCAAACATTCGCGTAAATCTAAGAAAGTATTAACAAAATATAAAAAAAAACACAGATCTTGCTAAAGCATTTTGCAGTAGAAATATATTATTACAAGAGGGTTATTCTTTTTACCCCACTTTATCAGACTTTGTAGATTAAGGTAAGATACACCCTCTTGAATTTCAACTCTGGATACATTTACATTATGCATTATGTATGACAGAAATGATTTCTAAAATCCAAGGAAATGTCTTTTTGAGGGTTGGAAGAAGTTGTTTTGGTTATTCATGTAATTACAAAAAAAGTACTTGCTTTTTATTAATAAAGAAATATAATGGACTAACGACTCTGATTTTAATGATTATTATAGATTTCTCAGTGATGATATATTTTCCCGTTGTAAAAAGTATCCTATATGTAGACCGGATAACCAGCAATCATCATATCAAATTTCATCAATATATGTATGTATGTCCAGTGTTTTCCTCGTGATGCAGTCATAGACAGACAGGCAGACAAAAAATCTAAAAACTATAGATTCGGCCTCTGTATCGATAATAATGATTATTATAATGAGATTTTTTTTTAAATATTTAATGTACAGATTCAACTCAGAATGTTATTATATGTATAGATTTAATTTTCACACATTATTTGTCACGCTACATTTAGTCTCTCATCCTTTCGCTCTCTCTCTCTCTCTCTCTCTCTCTCTATCTCATATTATCATTCTCTCAAAGAAATATTAATTTTTTAAATTACCTACTCATTTACTTTATCTATATTTTCAGATACGCTCCAACAAAACTGGATCCGCAACGTTGGAATGTTGAAACCAACCGTGATGTGATCTTGAATCTATTCAGCGATGCTCGAACTTTAGCCCCGATGATAAGTTTCGCTAACTACCAGTCGAAGGCTAACACCCAATCCTACTTTTACGTGTTTGGCCATAATTCTGTCAGTACCGAATATGCTCCGGTGAGTTCAATTTTTTCAAAAAACAAACATACATCATGCACAGGAAAATATATACAATATATATAGATTTAGTTTCCTATACTAATATGATGTATAACAATAATAATATGTTGGGACATTAAAACACAGCATTATCTAGTTCCATGATAAGCTACGAGGCTTGTGTTATCGATACCAGGGAGTTGATACCCCCCTCCCCCCCAAGGTGCGTTCACTTTGTCGTGGTGGGGGGGCTCAGTAGTGCCCGGCAATACAGCCGGGCGTGAAACCAAGAAACGCACAAGGAGGTGGCCCGCTTCGGTGGGCGGTGGGAGGCGGCCCTCTTAAGAGGGCGGTGTACCATGCGGGTTGCTCCTGGTACTTCTCTGATAGCAGAGTGGACCTTGGAGCAACCCCGTGGTTGTTGTGGTCTGCTTCGGCAGACCTACTGTCGGGGTGTCGTAGTTGAATGCGTAAGCGATCCTGCGACGCGCCATTAAGGCGGGGGCAGGTTTTGTTCGGTTTTATTGGGTAGTACTGGCTTCGCCGGTGAGTCCTACACTTCGTGTGTAAATGCATTTCCCAACGATAAAAAAAAGATAGTTGATACACTACTGCTACTTAATATTTAATTCAACTTAATATTTAACTTTAAATACATACATATTATAAATATAAATAACCATGACTGGAGTACAAACGTTCGTGCTCATCTAACAAACGAATCCCCCCAGCGGGACTCGAACCCGCGCACAGCAAGTAGGGTCACTACAAACTGAGCCAAGCGTGTAGTCAAACAATAACTTTTCCACCACTTTACCCCAATATCAATTAAATATAAGATCTGAAGCACTAACAAGATTAGAAATGAAATTATCCCCATAAGAGACTCTCAAGTTTATTTACATTCAATCTTGAACAATACATAGGAATAATCCCAAAAATTGCCACTTAACTTAAAATACAAGTCATAGCCCGCATTCAGTTTGATTTGTCTTGGTACATTGAACTACAAAGGAAAGTCCGGGCTTTTGATTCGAGGATTAAAATTTATCATGACATTTTCTAGATAGGGTTTTTTGTGTCAATTCAATTTATGTTTCAACCATGAATAAAGGATTGAACTTCAGTTATCTGTGTACTTAAGTAATAAAATGTTCTTGTTACTGAAAGGTTTTAATTTTGACGACAAATTTGACAATAAACAGGTCGATAATCTTCTAATATATAAATATCTCGTGTCACGGTGTTTGTGGTCGCACTCCTTCGAAACTGCTCGACCGATTTTAATGATTTTTTTTGTATAAATACACAAAACCTACCTACCTACCAAGTGGTAGGTATGAGAATAGGTCGTAAAGTATTTTTCACCCTCCTACCCCCATCCCCTATTTTAATCGCGTTTTTAGATTTTTTTGTGAACAATATTATAAACACATATTGAACCCGAGCTAAGCGAGGGTGTGGTTATATAACTTAAAGCCAAAGAGTTTTTTTTTTGTAGAATGAACGCGGGCGTAACCGCGGGTTCTACTAGTAATATATAATTGCTATGTGCTTGTTCTTCTCTGTATGTCTGTCCGTCTGTCTGTCGGCGAGTGCGTGCATGTTTGTATGTGTGTTCGGGTGTTTTTGTATTTGTACATGCGTCTGTATAAAACTATGATCTTGTATAACACATAGGCTACTGTTGGTGTTGGGCACCTAGGGTCGCACCTGAGTGAAGCCAGATTTAACTCGCAAGTATCATATTAATCTCTCCACGACCGCGGACACGCCGGCGTGTCAGTTAACAATAGGTTTCTTAGAATTAGAATTAATTTCTTAGAAATTTACCTGGAGGTGTTAAAATTAATACACATGGTGTTACAAATCAAGATAAATTAAACACATCGTTAAAAGAAACCGTTCAGTTTACATGTTTTTAGTAAGTCTAAAGTAGAATAAATATTTTCTTATAAAAATAATTTCTGGCTAATTTTGACCGACCGCAAAAAAGTCCAAAATTACGCGATTCGAGTGTATTTTTTTGTCTTATATCTATATTTAGCTATTATGAACGAATATTCATGATTCTCATTTTAATTAATAAGTTATATGTTAAGAGCAATGAATATGTTATATCGTATGAGATCACGTACATGAAAATTTAATGCGGCGAATTGCAATTAATTTCGAAGTGATATTATAATCAAGTATATGTATTTAGTTTAAAAGTAAAATACAACTTAGTTTTATGACAATCGGTCGAGATCCAAAGTTACAATTTGAGTTTTTCGTTTTGCGCGCTTCTATAAAAAACAGGTCATGACCCCGCTTAGAGTGATTGCAGATATAATAGAAATACAGAAGCATAGTCGTTAGCGATAACTAGAGATAAATATACTATAAAAGATTCGACGCATGTCATCGAATCTTTTATTTGGCTCAGTTTGTAGTGATCCTACTTGCTGTGCCAACGGTTGCAGGTTTGAGTCCCGCTGTTGCATTCTTTTGCACGATGAGCACGAATGTTTGTACTCTAGTCATGGGTGATTATATTTATTATATGTATGTATTTAAAGTTATATATGTGTAGTGTATCAACTATCTGGTATCCATAACATGAGCCTCGAAGCTTACCATGGAACTAGATGGTGCTGTGTATTAATGTCGCAACATATCTATACATATAATAAAATTGTAACTAAGTCGAATCTGTTCATTAGATATTTTTTGGAAAATCTTATTGAAATAGACACTATATTGCCCGCTGACATCTTCTTCCACAACCAGGGGTTGACTGGAAGAGATCTGTTTTAGAGATAAGTCCACCTTTGTGAACTATGTTTACTTTGTTATTTTTTTTCTCTGTATCATATTTTAAGTGCAACTATAATCGATACAGAGGCCGAATCTATAGTTTTTATAATTTTTGTCTGTCTGTCTGTCTGTTACCGCATCACAGAAAAATTACTGGAGGGATTTTGATCAAATTTGGTATCGTGATAGGTGGTTATCCGTGTCAACATATAGGGTACTTTTTATCGCGGGAAAATATCTCATTTCTGAGAAAAATGCAAAATTCCAATGTAAGAGTATACTAATCTGTAAAGCCTAAGAATTTGGTTTTTGGTCATCTGAACGCGGGCGGAGCCGCGGGCAATGCTAGTCTATTTAAATTTATTTATTTAGGTCAAAGATCCTTCCCCCAATGAAAGGGAAATCAAGCTATAGTTATAGGGATTCTTTCTAAATCTCTTCAAGAACCTAGTTATTTTCTCTTACAATTGCACTTTTTCTCACATGAAAACTGCAGAGGTAAAACTCGGGGTTCGAACGTTAGTTTTTTAACCGACGAAAAAAAGTAAGATGTTCTCAATTCGACACGTATATATTTTTTTATTATATTTTATGTTTGTCCACGCGTAACTTTATACAGTGCTGTCCGATTTCGATGATTCTTTTTTTTTTGAATAGGAATTACCTCAAAGTTGGTGCCAATTAAATTTGAAAAAAAACCCACCTCTAAATGCAGGCAATAGGTCGATATGATTGATTTTTCACCTACTGCGCTTACTACGATTACACTAAAAAGAGAAAAATAAAAAGTAAAAAAAACTGACTTTAAAAACACTAAGAAGTAAAAAATAACTGATTGGTAGTTTTCATTTACTATTTTAGAGGTGAACTTTGATTTGTCTGACAAATCAAAACACACCGACTTCTAATATATCTGATTATGTATTTCATTATTTTTTTAAAGTATTCATCAAAGAGTGCGTTACTTCTGCCAACAAAAGACTAATACTGTCAAAAGATTTGTATGTCCAAAGTATTTCTTAAATTTATGGAACATTATATTATATATATATATATATATATATATATATATATATATATATATATATATATATATATATATATATAAAATCTAATCTATCGATCTAAGTATATACGACCACTAATAGAATATAATATACAACCTAAGTTACATCATCTCTAATATAATATCTTATTATAAATACCTTACGTAACTATTATTTATTGCAGTTAAATAAAAGTGTCCATGGGGAAGAAATGCCGTATGTACTGGGTATACCATTAGGTGGAGCCAACACACATTTTCATTCAGAATATACACAACAGGAAAAGCTACTTAGCGAAGTCATTATGCGTCTTTGGACGAATTTTGTGAAAAATGGGTACGTAATATGTATAAGAAAGTAATCCAGTCGTAATATCTAATGTTTCAGTAATAAATAGCAATAATAAAGAGAGAAGAAAATAATAAAGAGGAAAGATTTTTTTGTTTGTTTGCTTGCTTATACCGAATAAGCTCCGAAATTTCTGGACAGATTTAGGTGATATTTGGTAAGAAGATAGTTTGAGACCCTGCAAATGACATAGATTTTAACCAGGAAATCATCCTTTGAGTGGGTGAAAATGGGGATGAAGGTTTGTATGAGGAATCATATTTTGAATATAAAATTTGGATTTTGCTTTTGAAAATATCAAAGATGCGAGACCCGGGATTTGAACTCACTTCACTCGAAATCCCAAGCGAGCGCGTTACCACTTGGCTACCACTGTCGTCTGTTCTAACTATGTCGCTCTGAAAATACGCTTGTCAAACATTTGCAAACCAAGCGATGCTATTCGCGAATATATACTGCTATTTTCTTAGGTGTTTAGACTAGCACCATTTCCAATATAATTCAGAGCTGCACAGTTATAATAATATGAATAGTGAGCACTTTTATGTCATTTTCGTATCCTTTTTAGTTTTTCTATTAATGTTAGCGGTTGATATATAAAATTCTTTTTATTTATCAGCCGATTGGTCTAAGCCTGTAAAATCGAAAGGTAACTTGTAAGTCGTAATCGTATTGACTATCTTGTATTTCATGTACTCGTAATTTGTAGGTAGAACAAAAACTAAAATAATAGCTTATCGATGTAAAATATTAAAAGAATTTGACAATATTTTCTCAAAATTTTTAATCTGCAAATGTTAACCCCGAAGATTGGTGCGAAATGCTTTGCCAGCTTTTATTGTTAATATATAATTAACTGTAATAGTTATTAATTTTCAAATAATTTTACGTTCAAAAATAATTTATCTTTTCTCATTAACGTCCTAGATACCCGTTGGTAAATTAAAATATAACTATAAATATTTTTGTTTGGAATAGATCACCAAATACTCAAAGTGTGAACGAATACTTCACCTTTGATAAGCGACAATGGAATCAATACAACGTAGAGTGGCCGGAGTATAACGTCTTTCATCAACCGTACTTAAGGATAGGTAAGATATTTTCTATTTTGATGATTGATGATACCTATTTCACTATAAGGCCCGCTCCACGCTATAGTGCCAATCACGGTTCGTTCTCGATCTGATATTGGTCTGGTAAAGTATTCTTATACAAGAAACAATAAGTGAATCAAATTCCGGTACAGTCACACTCCAGCAACGTTTTTTACCACCGATATCGAACCGACACCGGACTGTCGTTGGCACTAAATTAAAAAATTAAATTAAAATTAAAAATATTTTTAGATACTTTTGTATTTTTTTAAATCATTGTTTAACTTTATTGGTAGGTACTATCTGTAACAGCTATATAATGGACTGTGAGACATCTAAAACCTTAGTCTCTCCCGTGACAATGATTGCTGTAAAGCATTCGGAACGTTGGGAATTAAAAATCAAAATAATTCCGCGAAAAAATCCGAAAAGTTTTACAAAATTAGAACTTTAAATATAATAATTATTAAATTATTTTATTAATTATCTTTAACCTATTATAAGAAATTATAATTTAGACATTTCTTGCTTATTTCAGATTTACCTCCATCAATAAACAGTCTTTACAGATCAAATTATACAAATTTTTGGATAGAGACTTTGCCTAACAAAATGAAAGGTTTCGTCATTGATCCTCTATTTGAATTCACGCCTACTTTAGCCCCTTCGACCCCGAAACCGAAGCCTAGTAACAAGATAACTGGTAAGAAAAACAAATTTATTTTAGATTGCTATTTACTTGTGGCTTAAAATGAGTAGATTGGTTTTTGTTTATAATAAGTTTCTTTGAAAATAATGTTCAAAATGTTGTAAGGGAAACTAATAAAACGTTTTTGAATGTAAGTGTGAAATAATACGTCTAATAATGTGCATATAAGTTTTACAAAAAATAATTTTTAGTCAACAGGCTTTTAGTTAGTTCAGTGAATAAGAAAAAGTAAAAAAAAATCACAATTCCAAGACTTCTACAATTTAAATTAAATTATCGTATTTAATAAAAATTTCATTAAAAATGATGTTAGGTTTAGCATAAAAGAAACCATTCATAAAACGTATTTTTTTTATGGGACTAAGGGGGCAAACGGGCAGGAGGCTCACCTGATGGAAAGTGATCACCGCCGCCCATGGACATCTGCAACACCGCAGGGCTTGCATATCTTATAGAATGTTAATTCTTATGTATCACTAGCGACTCAGCCTCCCTCTGCTCGGGTTCATCCCTAGATACTTTTAAACCTTTAGTATAGATTCCTCAGAGATGAGATATTTTCCGCAGTAAAAAGTATCCTATTTGTTGACCCAGATAATCAGCTATCATCATACCAAATTTCATCAAAATTTGTATAGTGGTTTTCTTATGATGCGGTCACAGACAGACAGACAGACAAAAATTCTAAAAACTATAGATTCGGCCTCAATATCGATAATAATTACTATTTCAATAAGATTTACCAAAAAATATTTAATATACAGATTCGACTGAGTTAGAATTTTATTATATGTATAGATTATAATAATTCAGCAATAAAATATACATTACAGATCCAGTTCGAAGAATTTGGGCGCCACCAGTATACACTCCTACACACTATAGCTCATCATATGGTAAACTCCGACCATATCCTCAACCAGAGCCTAGATCCGATAAAGATTCAATATATCGAGAAATACAATCTATAAAAACACCGCCAAGATTTCACCCTACTTTAATAGAAAAATTCCACACAAACGCACCAACAACTGCAAAACCAAGTAATAATATGCCTATAAAAACTTCAAGTGCAACAATAACGATTGTAATTGCACTTGTAATACTCTTTCTAGTTATAAATATCAGTATTTGTGGTGTAGTTTATTATAGAAAACGAAAATCTAGAGGTGATAGAGAGCTTGAAACTAATCACTCTCGAGCTGAAATTGGTGAAGTAGATGTTATAGGCCAGAAAAGTTCAAAAGATGATAAAAGTGCAATGAAAACATTGAAAAATGGCTGTAGCGTTATTAAATCAATGAGCATCAACAAGATGAGAAACAACAGCAAAAAAGTTAAAAAGAAAGAGTGTAAAACTCCTAAATCTGATGACTCCGGTGGATTTAGAGAGCGTTTTCAATTAAGACGTCATTTGTCAACAAGCACTCTGGATGCTCATACTAAAGTAAGAGACTGGATAGCGAATGAAGTTATGCATCGATGCTCTCCAAGTATCTTAAGGAAATCTAATTCTGAATTAAACGAAAAGCATATTAGTCCGAAACCTTTTACACGGTCTGAAGAAATACTAGCTGACAGAAGAGAAAAAGCGGCATTAAAAGTAGATGAGTCGTTATATGCAAAAAATCTTTTAGGAAAAAGCTGTAAAAACAAAACATCTGAAAAAACCACATCAACATCAGCGTTAGATTCTCACTCTTCTTTAATTAGCACCAAGCAATCGATTGACCAACGGACAAATAAGTCTAATGACTCGATTAAAAGTAAATCGGACAGTATTAAATCAAAGAAAGTATCAGTAGCTATTGACGCTACACCCGCAGCGAGAACTAATTCTATATTAAAACAAGAACCTATTGAATTTTCAAAATCATTCGAATACAATGAACAAAAACATTCCAATACAGATAATAAATTACAAAGATCAAAAACTGATGGCGATATCATGCCTGAAAATTGTTCCTTAAGTAAATCCGAAGAGACGAAAACATATACTAATGAAATAACTCTATCATTAGGCCAAAATAATGGTATAAAAATATCACATAAGCATTCAATATCTGATCCAGTGACTGATGTTAACTATGAATTATTGAAGGATAAGCTTCGTGAAGCTGAAGCAAACATACTGCCTCCAGTAACATTCAGAAACGAAATAAACGTAACGTCCCGAGATAGTGAGACAATCCAACCTTTGAGCGCTGAAGAAGCGTTACTTACAATTAAGCGACGAAATTTTCCCAAAGTTCTGCCAGATTTACCTAAAAGTCAGAAAAGGTTATCATTACAACCTAATTTCCAAAGTTTTCGTAGTTTTACTGGAACTGAAAGCCCAATGGATAGATCAAGAGTTCCACCACAGCCACCACCACGTACAACAACATTAGAAAGACGATTGGCGTACAAAAGTTCGAAGCCCCTTTCCTCCTTTGATGTTTCAAATATTAAAAAAATCAATGAAGGAGAAACTTCCAGAAGAAATTATGAGAATATTGATACTTTGTCTCCTTATACAAATATAAATAGATCGTGTAATAAATCATTTGAATCCGTGACAACGTCAGGGCATAACAGAGAATATCCTAAAGTTATAATTGCGTCTAGTGATACACCTTGTATGCCAGAACCAACAATTATTATCAAACCTTCACCTAGCCAAACAGAAATACCATCGAATGTACCAAGAGTTAGACTACCTGATGACTTTCATTCCCATACAACTGGATCAATAACTTCCTTCTCATCATTTTGCTCTGATGATGACATTGATGATGAAATTGATGATGATTTTATTGATGATCTTGCTGAAGATAAGTTATTACAAGAATTGGTTGGAGGTGTAGAATCTCCAACCGAAATGATCGTATTAGATTCTAAAGGACCAGAGACGGCATTTGAAAAGAAAGTTGAAATTGTACCCGTAAAACTCAATACGGTACAAGTTTCGCCGAAAATAATGGAAGACTACGTGTGTATTTCAGATTTACTTCTGCCAGATTTGGGTGAATTAGAGCAAACAGCTCAAATTAAGCCAAATTTTAGTTTAAATAAGTTGAAAAATAGAAGTGATAGTATAAACAGTCCACCAGAAAAAGCTGTAAAACTCAGACCAAAAAAATCTATGAAACCAAGTATTTTAAATAGATCAACAAAGAGTAGCAGTGGTGGAAGTTTTAAGAGTAAAACTGATAGTAAATTAGAGCATTCAAATTCCGGTTCTTCAAATGACACTGAAACTAGTACTGGTACAGTAAAAAAAGTTGATTTAAAATGAATAATTTAGTTATCAAGAATAATTAAAAAAAGTCGTATACTATTTAAAAGTCTGAAAAATGTCTAAATAAAACGTGTACACACACGTAAGAAGTTATACTTCTTTGGCGTAACAGAACAAAAAAAGCTAAAAATTTCATCCCGTATGTCACAACTCTCTGTTTGTAAAAGGAATGATAAATGATTAAAATAATCAAATGAGGCATATTAGGCATATTACAATCATATATTTGTAGAATATCATTTAAGGAAAGAATATAATATATATCATTTGCCAGACAATAACAACGGTTACCATGACAACAAACAGTTATCAGCTAACTTCTTCATGTTGCTTTTTGGCTTTCGGTGTGCAAGCGCATCGTAAAAGTTTTACTCTCATATTTTTTTCCAAACGTCCCCAAAGAAGTAAAACTTCAAAAAGCTCTTTTCTGATTTCATTTAATTAGAAATATTGTTTATGAGATTATGACATTATAGTGTTTTCCTATTAGGAGTTAGATAAGTTTTTGAAATAGAAAACATATATGTATATTATATATACAAAATCTCATTTTTAATTTAAGTTTTGGAGTGAAGCATTTATTATAAAGCAAAAATGCGATAGATAATATGTATTTGATACATATATTATGTAAATATACGAGCTTTAATATTATTTTAGTTTTAGTATTAATACTATCATTGCCCGAGGCTCCGCCCGCGTTCAGATGATCAAAAACCAAATTCTTAGGTTTTACATATTAGTATACTCTTACAATGCAGTTTTTGTATTTTTTCTCAAATGAGATATTTTCCCACAGTAAAAAGTATCCTATATGTTGAACCGGATAACCAGCTATCATCATAATAAACTTTATCAAAATCTGTTCAGTGGTTTTCTCGTGATGCGGTAATAGACAGACAGAAAGACAAACAAAAATTTGACGGACTCTGTATCGATAATAAAGTATATTTCAATTAGATTTTCCAAAAAATATTTAATGTACAGATTCGACTTAGTTACAATTTTATTATATGTATAGATATTACATATATGTAACATCGGGTATGCTATTGTATAAAACTTCGACCAAATTGAAAGCCAAAGATAATTTATTATGTATTTAGAAAATAAACGATTATTATATTATATTTATGATTTTTTGACTCCTGATTCCCCTTACATTTTAACAGCATCAAAAATATTCTACTTACGAGATCGTTGAAAAATATGTTCTTACTAATTATAATTTCGACAATTTTTAGACATGTTTTATCCATTTTAAGCTACAAATGACCAACTGAACCAAACGTGTCGTCATATATAACTTTAAATACATAATATATAATATAAATATAAACACACATGACTGGAGTTCAACCAATCGTGCTCATCACACAAATGAATGCCCCCAGCGGGACTCGAACCCGCGACAGCTGGCACAGCAAGTAGGGTCACTAACAACTGAGCCAAACGTGTCGTCATATAGAACTTTAAATACATAATATATATTATAAATATAAACACACATGATTGGAGTACAACCAATCGTGCTCATCACACAAACGCATGCCCCGAGCAGGCACTCGAACCGGGTGGGGTTCTTTGTACAATATTTGTATACTAACTCTACTTTTAGAACTCGTACCAATGGAATATTTTTAGCAACTGATATCGAGCACCCCACCCTTCTTTCACAATAACACAAATTTTCTCGTTAATAACTTTATGCTTATACAAAAAAATATTTTTTACTTTTAAGTTATCTAGCTAGTTAGCTTTATAGTTATAAAGCGTGTTTTTTTAGTTTTTTATACTATAATATATTTTATAGAGGATTCAATTCAAAGTTTATTCCAGAACGATAAATATCTACATATATGTAGTACGTACTTAAAAAGCAGTGAAGCTTTTTCGTACATATTCCACTGTGTCACTTTAAAAAAACTGAAAATTTTTCTCTTAACAAAAATTACTTTAGTACTACTATGCATTATAATATAAAAATAAATCTCAAAAATACTCACATTTTATAAAAACTTATGAATTATACAGTAATTGTAATTTAACTTCATTGTATTTATCCATACTTAATATTATAAATGTGAATGTGTTTGTTTGTTTTTCGTTCACGTCGAAACGGAGTGACGGATTGCCGTGATTTTTTGTGTGGAGATAGTTGGAGGGCTGGTGAGTGACATAGGTTTTTTTTATCACCGGAGATTATCTCACTCCACGGGAAAATACGTTACAATACAACCAAAATATTTATTATCAGAATTACTTGAAACTTGGTATTAATGCTCTTCAAAACAATTAAAGAAATACGTATTTTAGCATTTTTCGAAATTCTTTCCTTAAGGGGGTAAAATAGGGGATGAAAGTTTGTACGAAACCTATTTTTTTAGAGATTTTATTGTAGTTTTAGCGTGAGTGAAGCTGCGGTTACTGCTAGTTTTATCATAAACAAACTATATAAGTGTTTAACCCATCATCTCGAGTAGAATTAGCCCATGGAATTAGATCATTAAACATAAAAAATATTATTTAATATCGCAATTAATTTGTCGCCCTATAATCTTATTGACCCAAGTCGTAACTAACTTGTAGACCGTTGAAAGATACGACTCTTGATTAGAGGTTTAGATACATTACATTTTCTTTGACTTAATTTATAAGCGTTAAGTGCACTTTAACAGAAGTTGTCTAGATATATACTATACTAACCAAAAAAAAACTAATCTATCCCACGGGAACCGTACATTTTTTCCGGGATAAGAAGTAGTCTATGTGTTACTCTGATGTATGAGCTATATATTAAATTATAAAGTTTCATTAAAATCCATTTAGCAGTTTTTGCGTGAAAGAGATCCATATCTATACATCCGGATATCCTACATCCTCACAAACATTCGCATTTATAATATTAGTAGGATTTTACTACTATATAAATGTGAAAGTTTGGATGGATGGATGTTTGCTACTCAATCACGCCAGATCAACTGAACGGATCTGAATGAAAGGCACAATGATAGATTATAGAAAATAATAACAATATTATTAAAAAAAACCTTTTTTTTTAAGTTTTTAACTTAAAAACCTTATTAATTTTACAACTTGTACCAACCAGTTCAAGGTTTTGCAAAGTCGCATCAAAGAATGTAAGAGATTAGGGATGTTAAGAAAGACCGTTTAAGTCAAATTTAGCTAAATACTCTTGTTGAATTGCTACAAAGTGACTTTGGACTAATTTAATTGTACCGTTTATCTCGAATGTTCTTTTAAAGCTCTCATGAAGTTATTCATTAGAAATATGGTTAATTCTTTCAAAGTTCTATTATTTAAGGTTAAGATTTTATTTTCACACTAGCGACTCACCCTCGATCCGCTCGGGTTCGTTCCTAGTTACGTTTTAACGTTTAACGGACGTAGTAAAAAGTATCATATATGTTGACCCGTATAACCAGCTATCATCATACTACATTTCATCAAAATATGTCAAGTAGTTTTCTCATGATGCGTTCCCAGACAGACAAAAATTCCAAAAACTATAGATTCGATCTCTGTATCGATAATAATGTCTATTTCAATAAAATTTTCCAAAATAATAATTAATGTACAGATTCCGCTCAGTTAGAATTTTATTATATGTATATGTTTTTTAATATTATAGTGAACTCATAGCGAAAGCTTCGCTTCATTACTAAGCTTTATTGCTTTGTATAGTGTTAAGTTTTCAATCAGAAGAAAGTATCTTATATCAGAACAGATCATTAAACTCAAAGTAGGAATCAAACTTTGGACTACTAGCGTACGCGAAATACAGGAAGTGCAAATATTATGATAAAATTGCAGGAAACCATGATAAGAAAATATCTCCGTATTATATTTTCTCGTTGAAAACTAAAAGTTATGTTTGTCCTTTTCACATGCCACATACAAACTGGAATTTGTGTATTCAAATGTACAAGAATTTATACTAATCGCATCATATTTTCTGCAAACAACGGCTGGCTGTATTGCTCCCACGGTGCAGAAAGAAATTCGAGCCTAAGATACGAATGTTGATAATACACGATTTTAGTTATGGATCTTTTAGATGTATATAATATATAATCCCCTTGAAACAAAAACTTCAAATATACATTTATTATATTTGATTTTATTAGAAGCTAATTAAAAATGTTTAAAGTTAAAAGTTTAAATATTGTAAGGTACTTTGGTGCCATTTTTCAATTTTTGAATTCATTTTGTTATGGTAAAGTTTGTGAGTTTGTAAATTTGTGTCGTTGTACGGAGTAATATCTGGATCTACTGAACTGATTTAGATGAAATTTGGTAAGAAGATAGTTTGAGACCCTGTGAAGGACATAGGATACTTTTTATTCCGGAAATTATCCCTTAAGGGGGTGAAAATGGGGATGAAAGTTTGTATTGGGAATCAAGCTAGGGACGAACCCGAGCGAAGCGAGTGTGAGTCGCTAGTCAGTAAATAATTTAAATTGAATTGTCATATAAATCCAGCTGTTCCTAAATAATATTCAGCAAAAATATGAAAACGTAAAAAATTAAGTTAATGTAAATACTTTGATTTTTTTGTACTAGTAATCAGCGTACCAAATTTCATCAAAATCTGTCTAGTGGTTTTCTCGTGATATATTCCCAGACAGACAAAAATTCTAAAAACTATAGATTCGCCTCTGTATCAATAATAATGACAATTTTAATAAGATTTTCCAAAAAATATATTTAATGTACAGATTCGACTCAGAATTTTATTATGTTTAGATATAGATTGTAAAGATAGATTAGAAGAGTCAAAGCTATGATATCGTGTCTATAAAACAGAGTCCAATAAATTTCCAAGACAGCAAACATACACCAAAATGCTTTAATATACCAGTAAATATTCTGAGAAGTACACATTATAGTAATAAATTTGCAGAGAAAGTTGAAAATCGTGTACTGTAAATTGCCTTTAAGTAAAGCATTATCCACATTTTAACGAAATTTAT